AAACTCATTCAAAACGCAATCGGAATTATCCTTTTTTTATACCTATTTAAAGTCCCCAATAAAACCCGTTCGGGAAACGAACAGGATAGTTGATTATATGTAGGTAGTTACGGAAATACCGTTTGATTAATAAGATAGAAAGAAATTTTGAGAAGGGTGCAGGCCGAAGGATTGACAGGCAATCACCTCACTGGCTCACTGGGGGTTAGATAGGGACACTCGTTGAATTCTAATTCCCCGCAGGACTCGCTTGAATAAGTTGCGGACCTCCTTCGATCGGACCGCTCAAAATCACTTTCAAAAAGGAATAGCCAAGAGCATATAAAATGGGAAATATATTAAAGTTAACGATTGTATCATAGAATGAATGTTATAAAAAATTGATTGTAGTTTAAAAATATTTGGAAATGATTAAGGAAATCGAGTTAATTTAGAGATGCTTAATAAATATCTCTGTTTAAAATGAAATAAAACGGGATTAAAGCGGTGTATTATAGAGGATCAGGTCGATACAGCTATTCGGACCTTCCGAGTCCAGATTAGCCCGCGTTTTCAATTTTGCGAAACCCCGCTGTTCGGGCACCGGCTTTCGGGATTGAGCGCATCGGTGGAATTCCTCGGTCAATCTTCGAATTCCGAATATCCAATCCCGTACCCCGTAGAATGGCTGATCCGACAAGGCACCTATTAGATGCCGGACCGAAAACACGCCGTGCCCGCCTGGCATATGTTGCCGTACCCACGGTGCTCCGGAAAAATACCTGCGTGTCAGATATGATGAGCCTTTCGGTATCTGCACGATTTATATCTTAAAAATCTTAGAACACCATGGTAATAGTTTCACATGAATTCTGTCTAAATATCACACTCGATAGAATTTCTAATAAAAAGTAGCACATACTTAATTATATCTACTTTAGTCATTTATAAGCTTTATTTTTCGTCTACTAAAACTCCTTTTAATAGACGATTAATTAAAAATTTAACATCTTTTTGAGTAGTGCGGTAGCACTATAATATAACAATTTTTAACGGTATTAAAATAGTATTAATCATTATATTCACGGTATCCCCAACATTGAAACAATTATGCAGATATTATAATCGAAAGTGATTCTATCAGGCCCGTTTTGTGCGGAGTCATCCATAAAAAAATACTACCTATACCGCCGCTAATTATGTACAGTAATCATTACAAATGGATATTTGAATTGAGGGTATACATAAAAAGCTTGAAATCTTCTTTACTGAAGAAGTATTCTGAACATAGAATATACGAGTATAATAATGATTATTATAAAAAAGAAAAGTCGCAAAAAAGTATCTCGAAATTATTATTAGATATTATTAAAAATAGAAAATAATCGATTAATGTAGGTAACTGCAAATAGCGAATATTAAAATAAGTTTTAAATGAAACTATTATAATTATGATACAAAATTTAAGAACCTAAACCAACATTTTAAGTTTCTCGTAATCCAATTGACTTCCAATTGCCTTATAAACGTGTTAAAATTTCTAAAATCCTCTTTCGGTATTTGTTTACAAAATCAACCCTGTCGCCTGTAGTTAACAATAATAGTTTTACCGATGAAGCGAGTAAGAGTTGACAAATTTCCAAAGGATACGACAAGCCCCTCGGGGAGCGCAAGTTCGGCTTTAGAACAATTAGCACAGTAGTCAACTGTATCCTGACAATTATCGGGGAGTGACCGTGCCGGCCGCTGCGTTGAAAGGGTTGAATGCCTGCCCTCGGGGACTTTCCTGGAGTCCGCCGGCCGATAAGCCTTGTACAGTATGCAAATTACTGAAATTTCGGATTCTTTCGCCCTTTGAAAAATTCACCGCAAGTAAAGTCTCATTGTTGTGCGAATCGGATAGAGTTAAAAGGATTAGCGAACGTTTCTCGGGATTTATGACAGGGTTTTGTTGTAAGTAGAAAAGAAACAAGTAGCAGAAATATTTGTTAAAATTCAATTCATATTGTGGAGAGAACGAAAATAGTGGGTTGTTGAATGTATAACCGAAAAGTCGAGAACCGTTAGATTCTAGAAAATTTGGGAGAATTTACTAATTATATATCAACAACTTTTTTGTTATTCATTGCACAAATAATTTTAAAAAATCACTCTGAATTCGCTGGTATAAAATAATCAAAATAGTTTTGTGTTAAATTCGAACACATATTAGATAAATCTATCTAAATAGTCTCTCTGACACGTATCATAAAATTTCAATCGATTTTAAATTAAGAACACTGTTTATATGGATTTAAGAAAAGAGGGAAAAATGTAATTTATACTTCTATTTTGCAACAAACATCATTATTTTACATTTACCGTCGATGGAGCAACAACGTTAAGTATCTACTCGAACTTTTTAGAATTGATTCTAACTCAGTTTAAATTAGGATTTCAGGAGCAGATGCGACCGGAACGGGGATGCGAATATTAACCTAAAATTACATTAAATTATCAGTCTGTCCGATTCGAATGAAGATTAATGCCGAAAGTATATGCCTGCACTTTATAACTACATAAATTGAGTTATAAACTTTTTTTCTTTTAGACAATTTGCATCTCTGCCATAATTAAAAGGCGCTGCTTTACATATAATTTATTGTGATAAATAGATATACTATATAGAATTTAATTCGATAGTTTATATACAAAATTATTTAAATTTTTTGCACATATATTAAGTACATAGAGTGCAATATTAAATTTGCAAAATCCCTTATAGTGCCGACTATGGTTTCCCAGTTGTTATATATGTGCATTTCAACTCAACAAAATCATTCACAATGGTCGCCGGCCCTTCCGCTCGCCTGATTTTCAGTCCCCGGTCTGGCAGCCAGGCAATTTCGGAATCGGGGGGCCGAAGCCTCTCACCCTGCTCACCCTACTCATGCTGCCAATCTAGGGGAACATGCTTCACTGAACTATTTTTACACAACAAGGACGCAATCTAAAATGGCGGTATGACGTTAGGAACAAAGACGTTTTTTGCGTCGTCGACGGCGATTTCATATTATCCGAACGATCGTTTTCGGGGCGACGTCGCTCGAAGGAAATACAACAGAAAAAAAATATAACCGAGGGAGTTTTAGCGGGATTCTTTTATTAAAATTTTCGGCGATAGTCGGCTGGCTCGGAGTGCTTGGTGAAAATATTTTCATGAAATTTGGATCAATATTTTGTACGTACGAATACACATTACTTTGACAAAAGAATAGGTCTTATAATAGAGAAAGAATAGGACATGTCAATTGAAAAATTAGCATTGTAACTATAATATCGATGGTTAACATCATTGGTTACATATAAAGAAGATTTCAGTGCTAAATAATTTGAGTTTGATAGATCAATAACGTTAATACTACAGATATATTAAAAACAATATTATTTTAATAAAATGTTAGCATTCTATCATCAAACTCTACGACCTTTTGTATCAATATTTGTTTTTTGCGAATTTAATTAGTTACACCTACATGGAAATTATTAAAAAACACAACATCATCATATTATTTTATATTTTACTGTATCTTTTGTTTATATTTATAACTCTATAAAAAATAAAAGGCAGTTTTTTCCATATATTTTTTGCTTATTTATTCTGTCGTTTCCCGTCGTCATCCTTTCTTTTAGAAGGGCGAAAAACGGAATTAACCCGATGCAAATGCATAATTTAAACGCCCTCGCATCCACAAATACGTTTAGCATCAAAGGGTTGCTACTTCCATTACATTTTCCATTAGAAAGCCATTAAGCTATTACCTAATGGAAAAGTAACCGTAGCGCGCCTTGAATTTTGAAATTTAAAACCGTGTTTGCACCTGATGCAAAAGACATTAAACCGAACTAACGAGCGAATTGTGTTATTAAATATTACTGTCTAATGATAGCCATACTTACGTTCGTAAATAATATCTAAATACTTAAATTAGATTAGAGAGTATAAACATGTAAACAAAAGCAGTTAATAGTTAGTTAAGTTATTAATAGGTAGGTAGTAAGTTTTAAGAATTTTCAAGCTTCATAATCTAATCATAATTAGTCAAAAATCGGGATCCCGAGGAGCATTCTCTCCGCCTAGCCGCGTTTTCGATTAAACACATCACGAATGAAAAAAAAAAACAATCTTTTCTCATTCGACTTCTACGCAATTTATATTATTTTTTTCGTCCGTCGAGCGGCCGGGTTTCATGCTAGGGTCGAATGTATTTTCCTTTGATATGTCTGCGTGCCGACCAATTACGGCCGGGGCCGTGTAGGCCGTACCCGTCCGACCGGCCGTCTCCGGGTCCTTCGTTCTTACACAGCGCCCGATACTGAAAATATTAAATTAACTTTGTTTAATAGAATGGGAGAGAACCTGCACATGAACGAACAGGATCTGACTCATTTCCAATGCACTCGCTATTTTCAATTTAGTAATTACCTATTTGCCGCAGGTAAATGTAATTTGAAACAAGATTATTAAAGTTTTTGTGCTTCTATACGTTTTCCTCTATTTTGAGGATGATAAAGCTTTTGAAGCTTCTGTATTAAAGAAGGAGATGTTACCAACATCATGCTGGTTTTCTCAACATTTATTATAGGTACAAAAACTTATTTCACCAGCATATTCATTTTTATTTATAACAAGGATGTTATAAATAAAGTGAGATGATCCGGTCCTGTTTAAAAGCTGTAGAGCTGGCACGAAGTTGTTCAAAGCTTATGAATGTGCTTTAATGAATAATTCTCTTCAGACATGTGTGTTGTGTTCATTGTAAGAAACATGCGAGGATTGAATAATTAATAGATAATATGAGTAATACAAAAATAGCAACGTTATGCTAGTTTAGTTTATTAAACCTTTTACTTATACTCGATTATTTCTTTCTTTTTCTTATAGATAGTTATAAAGATATTACACGTCTCACTATAATATGGAAGTCTACTCCTTGTTCTTGTAGAAAGTGCTGGTATTTTCAAGCAGAATAATAACAGGTACATTTGTTGATAAAAAAGACAACATTAGAAGTATACATATTTATTTCTAATATTCATATATACAATTTCTATTTCTACATAACTTATAATTTCATAGGATCACACTGGGTTAAATAACCTCAAAAATACATGCACAATATCAAATAGATACCAAAAAAGTAGACAATACCACTTAAAATAAATAAAACTGTAAAGACTCTATTTTGACAAAAGTATTATTTAGTGATTATTATCTTAAAAATTTTAAACAACAGTTTCAAAATTCTGATTAGGTAGATAATAGATGCTTCATGTAATTTCTATTTTATTTTTTATTATAACTGATTAAAAAAAATCAAAAGTACGTATTATTCTAAAAAATACTTTGTCAACTGACTCTTCCACTTACAAAACATAAAGTTAATAAAAAAATAGTAAATACCCTGAGAAATAATGCGAATGTGTATTATTACAAATAGGTATATCATTATTGTGAAATACTTACGTATATTAGTTAATTGTTCTAATTAACATTGTGTGATTGTGATTCAGAACATGTATTTCAGGTTGAAATTCGTAACAAAAATAATACATAGGTAACAATGCGTAAACAATTATACTTAATAGTAAATATAAAATGGCACTCTACGGTTCACTGAAATTCTAGGGTCAGGTTTATTCGAATTCGACTTCAATTTTCCACAAACAACAATCGCTGGAAAAATATTGCTATCTTCACGATCTGCAGTTAATAATAAAGCAGGGAAAGCTGAGTGAAAGTAAAATAGATGCAGAAATTAAGTCAGATATGATCGTAAGTTGCAATGCCAACTAAAATAAAGTACATAGTTAACCAATCGTAAAATTTGATGATTCACAGAATATGACAAACGAATATTTTTAAATCACAATGTCAGATCGGAGTATCTACCAGTCAATCAAAAGTACTTCATTATGCAATAACAAGAAGGAAGATAATTTGTTTGATAGGAACTCACTCACCAGACAGCAATTGTAATTTGTTGAAAGTAAATACTTAAGTATAGAACATCTGTAATCGTATTTTTCTATAAAATAACTAAGGGAAACAATAAAGTGTTAAATGACCCAGAAAAGACGGATGAATTTACTTCTTCTGTAAGTGGGCCTTTTCTTTATACACTGAAGAATTTTCTCCAAGAATATTAATTTATTGGTATAGATTATTGGAATTTTATAAAAAAACCTGATCCCTATTTTTTCAGCAACTGTTTAATATGTCTTATATTCACATGAAAATATAACACTCATCCATCCAATGAAACGCATAATACAGAAAAACCATTTAACAACGAAAATATGACTGGAAACGAAAAAAAATATATTTACCACAACAGAGTTCCCCGCTATTAAACACTAAAATTATTCATCGTGACACAATTCATGTTTATAGAGCGAATAATTTTTCATATTGTCAGTGAGTTATTTATAAATTAATTATTAAATAGAAATTCGCATAATGGGGCCATAATTAATTATATTGTTATAACACACCAACTCAAAGGACTCAAAGAACTCAAAGAACTCGAGAACTACTTACCGTGATTTATTGATCAATCGATATTGATTTATAGGTAAATTCCACGTAGAGGTACTTAAATTATTTCGGTTCGAAAGATTTAGAACGTATTTCATGGCTATGAAGTTAATTATCAACTCTACACGAATGTAATGTTCTGCATACGGGGTATTTATTAAACAAATGGTTAGGTATATGGGTAATATAAAAAATATGCACTCATTAATTTCCCTTTATCTCTGACGTTATCGATTCGGTAAGGCTATAACACAATCAATTTCCAACCTTATACCTATATTAAAATCAATTGAAGAATAATAGATAATTTGTAAGTAATCCCACTATTATGCGAATTTCGTTCGAATTCCTACATATTGAGCTTATACTCACTTTTAGAGAGCAGTGAGTCCATAATCGGATTTAATAACCGGCTGCGGCGTTCCAGGGACGCCCCCCGGTCCGCATCCAGGCGACGACGGCATGGGAGTGAGCGACGATCCTAACGATCCAATATGCATGGCGGAATCGGCGTGGAGCATTCCGTGGTGCAGACTGGTCGGCGGCATCGGATGAGCGTGAGAAATCTGATGCTGGCCGCTCAACGACATGTCCAGCATATTCTCGCCCAGTCCGTCCATATCTCTGTTGTTGTTTTTCCGCTTATCGTTGTTATTTCCCGCAGTCGAGTTCTGCGTTTTCCCTCGAACTTTGCCCCCCGACTTGCCGCCCCCCGTCGTCGTCGTTACGCCGGCCGGATTCGTTTTCCTGCGGACGTTTTTCGTGTTGGGCAATTTGTTGTCTTTCTTCCATTTCATCCGGCGATTCTGGAACCAGATTTTGATTTGTCTTTCGGATAGGACTAAAGTGTGCGCTATTTCTATCCGCCTTCGCCTGGTCAGGTATCTGTTGTAGTGGAATTCTTTTTCTAATTCTAGGATTTGGTGGCGGGTGTACGCTGTCCTCTGCCGTTTCGGTTCCATGCCCGGAGCGAACGCTCCAGTTGCTGTAACAAAAAGAAAGACCCATTAAAATAGGCAGTTAAATAACCAATTAAGAAGTTAGTAAAGAAGTATAGAAGCTTTCAGGAAACCGCATGTAGCTCCAAAATTACACATTTTCCAACAAAATCCTTGATCTTGATGTGTATCGCAAATTTATATCAAAGAAGTAGGTATAATAACTTGATCTATAAAGTAAAGGGTAACCTATTTATAGGTTCATTTATAGGCCCTTCACCAAGTTCATGAACTAATTCGGTTGGACCATCATTTTGCTCGACTTTACTGGTGAATTTCGTGACAAACTCGATCGACTGTATCGAGATCATTTAACCCGCATATCAGTATCGAAAAAACGCATATAATCTGTCGGAGATCGTGAAGACAGAACCCGGACCACACCAAATATCGTTACTGACCTTGGTTTAACCTAGACTGGCGGTGCAATTGTTGTTTACATCAACAATGTGCACAATCATCGTTTGGGCAACGAGAATGCTGTAGGTTCTTTGAGTGGCTTTTTACCGACCAGTGTCGTATGAGCAGATTCGTGTTCTAGATTACGGATCTTCTTAAATTGATTTTAATATTACTAAACAGAAAAGAGACCGAACAAATAAGGACAGTGTTGTTTAAAAAGTTTGTAATCATCTACCATCTCATGTATAATCAACTATCTTGTAGATGTATGTATTTGGCTAAATATTTCTCCTTTTATCGAAGTTTTGAAGTGTTTGAAATGATTACAGAACATAATATGAATGCGTATAATGAGTAATTCAATTAACTAAATGTAGCAACACTTTATTGAAAATGCATAAGTAATGTATGCCACGGAAGTAGTTCGTGAAAGTAAATAGTAATCGGTATTGCACAGCGCATGAAAGCGCATAATTACTTTAAAATTTGATAAATCATCATGACTTAGGTTAAATTAACTTCAAAGTCATTTCACACTTAACTTCTTAATGTAGATAGAGTAATATTTCCTGTTAGTGGTGTTCTATCCTATACAACATCCTGTGATAATTACTGTATGTATTTCCTAAGTATATTATTATACGAGTAGGTACTTACAATTTTCTTGTGCGAAACAATTCTTGTTAACGCTGCTAATTTTTATCGATAATGGCCTTGACAACTTGATGAATTCTTTTTCCAAGTATACAGTTAAAAGTGCGTGGTGAAAATGATGTACTTAATTACTCGGGTATTGAAACAATATCAATGCTGTTAGATTGCGTAAACCATAATGTATTAAGAATCAGTTTTGTTTAATAGGCGTCAGTAATCAATTTGGTTTATAATATTTATTAGACTGAAAAAACTCTGTTGGTCCTACTACGGAATTCAAAGAAACAAAACTCTAGACCCCAATAATTTTATTCATTATTAAATTAAAGTTCATTAGAATTTTTTGACAATATTCCCTTGTAAACAATCCCATCAGATAAATAAGTGTCAAGTGCAATCGTCTGGCTCCAATTTGTTTACTCGAACTTATTAGCCAGCATGACCAGATGCCAAGAATGAAATCACCAGATTACCAACAAGTAATTATTGGTCATTAACTGTATACGTACGAGATCAAATTGTACGCCACTGACGCGTGATGCGGCCATATTGAAACGATTAAGTTCGTTTATTTTCTTTGTACCAATACTCGAACAGAAACTCTCCAACAATGATTTCATTTTATTTGTTAACTTCCTAATTAGATGTTTGTTCAATGATCTTTATGTATTCGCTACTATTGATGCTTCCATTATGCATGCGAGTATTACTTTGGCCGTTGAGTCGCCGAACGCCTAGTCGATTTTTAAAATTCATTAAACGGGAATGACCCAGCGTTTTTTACAGCTGCATACGTTGCCTCCAATCGCCTCTATACAGTGTGAGGTAGAAATTGGCCAGTTTATTCCAGCCAATTTTTAAAGGTATAATTCAGGCATTCTTTTAGTTATACCAACCTCCATATCAATTATAATGCAGTTGCAATAACAAATATGTTTAGAGTATTTCTTACATTAAAATCATAATCATTTTTTTCCTAAAGAAGTCCTATAAAAGTACCTATTTAAATTTCATTCTAACTATTCATTGTGTAGCAAAAAGATTTTCATAGTAAATAATTGATTTATAGTGCAATACGTAGGTACGCCATTTTGATGAAATATTCACATTGAACTGGCGGACTCGTTTTATACACAAATAACCCTTTCACAAAATATAAAATCGATAAAAGAGGTGGTGAATGCCTACGCTACTTTATTGATGACTTTTTAAAAACCAAGGAAACAATTAACATTGGTTGACTAATGTCCGAGCGACAATCAGATACACGCAAACTGAACGTATATGAAGTATTGACATAAAAGAGTCGGTATCTGTTACTACATGTAATTATACTTGCACATTAATAAAATATCGTTTTATTTATATCTCCCTTTTTTAATGTGTACTGCTATATACGTTGATATCGCCAATTAAAAAAGCATTTAGTAATCAAAAGGATATAATTTGATTTGCATAAGTATAACATAACTGTTCATGAATAGTATGTGTATAAATATTTATAATAATAACAGACGAAAATAATTTAATATTTATAAGAATTTAAGAAGCAAAAATCATAAATACGACAAAGGCTTTCGATACGTTAGATGCAAATTTAAATATTTATAAAATACAGACGACAGTATTCCAAAATAAAATGATAAAAGTAGGTATAATTCCACTTTAGGCAAGCGATCGGTCTTCTCTTGACAACTTGAGATTCATAAAAAATTTAATCAGTTTTCATCAATATACGTAAAGCGGTCCTCTTACCGAGAATTTTTATAGGTATATGATACACCGTTTATTTACATATTTTTATTAAATTTTTTATCTATTGGCTCAAGCATTTAAATTGTAATTTGATCTTTCAATATTCACAATGGACTTGGAGAGAACCATCGAAGGATATATTGAAGGAAAAAAATCAACTTACTTCTATGGGATGCTAATTCTTGAGAATTGCCAACTGCAAAAACGAAAACAACAATTACAAATAATTTTTCTCAATGTTAGGTGTTAAGTTATTGTGTTGCGATCAAGGTGGACGCATATAAGATGATAGATAGTGTGTTGTAAGGTTATTATTATTTAAATTACGCTATAAACACGATGTGTATATGAACAAAATGTGTCGGAAATAAGATATCATTTTTGTAGGTATTATACATGTGAATATTGCGTGTAATTCGCTTTTTTGCAATGGAAATTTTATTCGGAATATCTTTTGTGTATTTGTGGGGTAAACATTAAAAGATATCGTATCGTCGTATCAGAAAGCAGCTAAGTTGTTATTAGTAGGTACATTTTTACATAACAATGGATGGTATAAATTATACGTATAGAATAATAATTTTCTTCTACCGCTGATATTAATTAGATTTCCTCTGTTTGTAATTAACTATCAAATTAATATCTGAATAGCTTAAATAAACCTATATACATTATATAAATCTGTTAAAATTTATTCATTTGATGGTATGAGTTTTGTTCATTACTAGATATTTATAAACAAATATCATCAATCACCTCACAAAAATTAAGGTGTAGTTATAATGGAATCGTCATAATTTTTCTAGAATGTGTAGTCTACACCTGTAAATATAGATAACAGCTTCGATTTTATGATCATTAATGAAAATTAATCGAATATAATGTTTATAAATTTCTATAATCAATAAACACCAAAATTTTCTCATATGTAACACGCACGTTTTTACTAAAACGTGAACCTAGAACCATCATGGTCACCCTGTTATTTACCATTTACTATTACTAGAGTTAATGAGGATATGCCAAATACAATAAATTTTAGGCGCGTGTTGAAGAATAGTTTCATAGGCGTTACATTCGAGTAGAAACTAAGAACTAAGGAATATATCTTTAAGGAATGTTAGCTTTCTCTATTTTAATTTTTTGATGCTTCAAGGCTCTAAAATATCTATTTCTATATCTGTCAAAAAATTGTTTCTATATATTAAAAATTATGTTCTCGAGGTAGATAATTTTATTAATATTCGTATGCGGTCTTATATTTATAGAAATACATCTAAAATTATCATAAACGAATATATTAAATTCGTACATTAGAAATGCATACATATGTAGATATATACGTGATTTATGTATTATTCAATCAAATAATTTTTGTTAATACTCTTTGTGTAGCGCTGACAGGTGTAATTAGTCTCACCGCGCGCATTTTTTTGTTAATTTTTTAATTAAAATTTTAACATGTCGGTAATTTATTTGGAATAGATACATTGCTAACTGTATATTTAAACAATTTTAATTGCCTATTGTGAATCTAATGTAATTTAAATTTTCTTATTGAACAAAAGTGTGATGATAAAAAATTACTCTTAGATTTGCATAGCGTCAGACAAAACATTTTAAGAAAGTAAAGAGAACGGTTGTTATAAATTGAACTGACACAGCTATTAAAAATGCAACATATAATTATGTTGCAAGCTTACATAAAAGCTATATCACGATTTCGATGAATAAGATAATTTGACAAAACAACAATAGTTACGATTTCCATCAAATAAGGCGATGGAAACTGTAATTTTTATTTGCTGGTTGAGAACGAGAATACTTACGAGGGCGAATCAAATATGAACCGGAATTTTGCTTTAAAAAATTATTTATAAATTATTAAATTAAATTAAATATAATTTTGAATATATCATATTTTTCTATGTAGTCTCCTCTTTTATTACCACAAATTTCCTACCGAATCGGAAGTTTTTTAATCCCGTAATCAAATAATGAATCTGGTCGTGTCTGTAGTGAATTGCGCACAAACGTTTCCACATCTTCGTAGTCGTTGAAGTGATGACCTCCTAGTACTTCTGTGAATGACCCAAACATGTAATAGTTACATGGCGATAAATCGGGATTGTAGGGTGGTTCTTCTAGAATATTTTCCAATGCATTTTGTCCAAGTGTTCTTGAGTTAATGCAGCTATGTGTGACCGAACGTTGCCATGGAGCAATATCCCACTTCGAATATACTTGTCCTGTCTTTTTCGTCGATAGTCCAGCTTCACTTCATCAAAAAGTTCACCATTAAATGATCCCTGCAATCGCAAAAAATCGTTGCAAGAACTTTCTCAGCAGAAAGACTAATCTTGTCTTGTTGCATTCTTGCTCCTCCAGTTTCTCACAAATTTCTTTTTACCAATCGTAGACATGAATCCTTGAAAGCATGTTACCAGTGAACTGTGTAGTTACTCGACGCAAAATGTTGGCAAGTTTTACGTTCTCCCGCGATAAATATTTAATATTAATCCGTTGCTTAACGGACCTGTTCACCTCTTGCTCAGACATGATGGTACTAACAGTCAATCGGCTCTAACGAGGCAAACTGATTTACTCACCTTTATTTTACATCCCCATGCAACATGCATGTTTACAAGAAAATTCCTGTTAATATTTGATTCGTCCTCGTATAAACAATTCTAGTTGCACAAATTGATTGTTAAATGTTAGGAAATATGGCGAGAAAAAATTGAAAATTTGGAATATCAATTATAACAATTATAAAATTAATAAAATGTATAAATTTTTAGTAATATCTATATGCGCTATTTTTATACGTTAATTTTACGTATAGCAGGCACCTATTAGAATATAAGTATTTACCGGTTCATCGAAGTGTCGCGTAACATTGTCGTAAACATAAATACTCGTAAAACAGTTGTTGGCGGCATTGGGCTTGATTAATTACATGCATTTTCGATTTCCATTAATATTCCACAAGTCATCCACGTAACATAATTATTATCGATAAAATTGTCTGTAATTAGCTGCTACTTTAACCGAAATTGAATATTTACAATCGATGGAGTGACACAACAGTTTTATACAACATACTATTTTGTCCCATTTTTATTTCTTAGCTAATAACAATAGTAAAAATAATTTGCTCAGGCGCATATAGGCCTGAATTAAAAATACTTTAATATAAGTAATCCTAGGATAAATGTAACCAGATTGAACAAAATTGAAAAAAACCTATACTATTCTATTTGCAAGGAAAAATTTTAACTAAGTATATTATAATATTTATTTTGTATACCACCGAAATGTTCCCATAAGAAAATTGAAGTAATCCAATTACTTCCTTAATGTTTTAGCCTTGATGCGTCTAGCCGCTACATTTCTTCATTAACGACATTAATTTCAAAGTTTGTTAGCTTGTCTTACATGAGTATGCAAAATTTTTTTGTGTCAACCGACTACCGGACTCATTAATGGTTCACTAACCGTTACTTTATGCGTTCGAGTAGATAGTAATATACAAAGTATACGCTAAAACCGTTTATCAAATAATTTGTCATCTAGTCAATAGGAAAAAAAGGACCGACTAAAACGTAAAACATAATCATTATTATTCGAAGAACTTGTTAAGTGTTCTATTAATATAATGAATGTTTGTCGGTTATTTAGTGTGTTCTTTGATGTATTTTTTGTAGTTACTTTCATTTTTTTTTGATTTTATTAAGTGTTATCGAATTATTAAAAATGTGTGACAGCGCGTGATTAATTTGAATAGTTGTTATTCTCTATACGTTTTTACCTAATGATTTGAATTAAACGTTAAATTGGCAAATAAATTGAACTTAATGAATGCAGAAATAGAAAATTAGGGGACAGATGAAGAACTCTAAATTCAAAAGAAATCCTATATACCTACATAAATGCAATTTAAATAAATCCAATAGGCGATATTGATACTTAGAGTACCTCCCAAGAAGAATTCTAAAACAAGATAAATCGACGTTATCCATCAGTTTCACCAGTCGCCAGTCAAAATATGTTTAGAAGCAAATTTTTCTCCTCAAAAATCCCAGCCGAAAACTTTCGATTATTCCAAGCCGAAACTCTTGTCCGACACGACGCTTTAAGCACTGCCAATTTATAATCTTTTATTCGGATAATGGGTGCGATTTGTAACCCGAACTATCCGGCCTTCAAGACACTGTTTACATCCATCGAATAAACATCCCATTGTCGGGAGGATCTGTTTAAGTGGTTGCTAAATACGCCGAAAAAGTTCCAGTAGTGTTAGAAATGATGCCCACTTCACCTTTGCACATCGGGATCGAAAAGACAAATCGGCTGCTATCAATTTCTTCAGAATCTGAAGGGGATTGAAAAGGAACGACGATATAGTCGTATGACAGGGGTTTTTATAAAAATATAAACGTAGGTAGATGTAGAGTACACAGTTCGTTATGCAGGTTTGGTTTTCTAAACTTGGTATTTACAAGCAAATACTAATAAGTTTATAATATCTTTTAATTGTATTATATTCGGTTGCACATACTTTGAGTTTGCACATAGTTTGCTTGAGTAGTATTAAGTTAGAAATAAATAAAAATCGTTAAAAATAATAGAGAAAGATGTTTTGAGTGGATATTTGACATTAGCCCCATTTTTAAAAGTTTTACTTACAATGGAATTGAATGAAATCACCAAATATACTTTCTTAAAAATTCTTTTAATGTATCTTCTTGAAGATTATAAATTGTTTTATTAAATATTGGTGTGTATATTGAAGTGTACATTGAGGAGAAGATACATATCTACATAGATGCAGAATGAAACAAAAAGGTTGATGGTTATAATATACCACATATTCTGCATGGGGTCAAAATTAAGTTGATTTAGCACATTTATGATATTATAATGATCAGATATTCATTTTTACTTGTGTTTTCTAATGCTCACATCGCCACGGACCGACCCGATATTGTAGATATATCTAATAGATATAAATCTAATAAACATTAGCATTTTGTTAATTTATTATTGAATCTCATAAGTATGTTTGTAGGAATGCACCAAATTAAAAATACTTTTTACTGTAATAAAACTTTTATACTTACACGCTCCTGCTACATGGACTTTCTTCATCCAGGGATAAATCTGCCTATCGCCATCGACATCATCGTCATCATCTTCGTCATTATTCGTCGAACTACCCTGATCATCGATGTCATCTGGTTCGGATACACTATCTTCCAGTCTCAGTCCCAATTCCTGCAAGGAATGTCCCGGGGGCGAGCCCCTCGATTCTTGTCCGTGTCCCGCCGACGCAGGACTACACACACTAGAGTTCACATCACTAGGTTGCGTAACGTTCGCTGAAATGTCCGAGATATTTTGCAGAATGTTCGTGGTACCACCGACACTCGATTGATTATGGCTGTTCGGCAGGCTTCCGCAATTGACGAGATTCTGGCTGTCGTGCAGCTGCAGAGGCGGCCGGATTTGGTGAGAATGTATAGGTGGTGCGTGGTGCAGCTGATGGTGGTAGTAATTACCGTAGCTTCCATATCCTGTGCCCGACAGCGGCATCCCGCCCGACCCGTACGACGTCGTCTGGTGGTGGTTGTGGTAGCCATATTGCAGGTGGTGCTGGGGCTGGTTCAAGTGGTGATTCCCGAAGAAGTTTTCCGTAGAGGACGGGATGTAGCTGTTCTGGCTGTATTCCTCGCTCGGCGGGAATTTCGGATCGACCACCACGCCGCCGGATATGTGCTGGGCCGGCTGGTAACTCGACGGCAACGCTCCAGAAACGGGGTTCATTAAAAACGAACTCATGATCATTAATTTTTCCGAAGCTCGAAAGCTCTATAAGTTGGCCGGAGTTTACGGTGGGGACTTGTAACGCACTAGGTATTACATTGGAGTTCTTTTTTCCAATCCCCTACTATACGAGGCTCTCTCTTACTCCGAACGGTAACGCCCTCGGCTCGAAATTAACTAACCACGTGATCCTTGGAGCTCCAATAGCAACGCGTGACGTCACTCACCATGATGGATGACGACCGGCTGGCGCCTGAGTGGGAAAGGCCACAGCACGCGGTGGTTTCGTATATGTATAATATTCTCTCGTTTCTTTTTTTATATCAAATCACTTTAAATATTTAAATCAAACCAATTCAATTTAATATGCAGATATACCTTAAAACTAACTATCCTTTTTATAAAAATAACAACACAAACTATAACTTATTTATCACGAATGTTAACTATTTAAAGACACTATTATACAATAAACAAATAATAAATTTAGAAGTTATATTTATGTTCAATGGAGCGCCAGGACGTGACTGTCCTGCTCGTGAGTCGGATTCGAACTGGAGGTAGGATTGAAGGATTGGAGTTGGAAGCGCGTTAACTCCTCCCATTTTATTTTGTCGGCACTTATCGGGCCGTTTTACCTTTCTCTTACGCATCCCCGTTGGGGTGTCGTGGGAGAGGAAGGATCGAAAAAGCTCTTTGGCTCGTCGTCGGTGCGAGTCCCACGAGGGTTTTTGATCTTTCGATGGAAAAAGTCGCCGATGCGTAGGTAGAAATCTAGGATTAATTGAAAGAGCGAGCTTGGAAAAAGGTGAGTTTTTACGGGGAAAAAACTTGGTTGGTACACTAGGTGGATACTAAGAGTGGCTATAGGTGTAAGAAGCAAAGTGATCGTTTTAATTTTAAAGTATTGGGATGGGTAGAAAATTGTTAGGAAATGTCAAATGTATCTACAATAAGTAGGTACAGAAACCTATACAGAGTTCTCCAAGATTATGAAGATTGCAGGATTTTCAATTGAGGTGAGTGATATGACCAAAAACAAAGGTGCCTTCATGAAGAAAACATGAAATAAACATATCAGGGCTCCAATATATTTAATCTCAATTGTTTGTTGATACAAACGAATCGAACCACTTTTGAATAAGCAATAAAAAATTCGGTAGGTTTGGTATCAGCACGACGGAGCTCCTTAATGATCGATTTGGAAGCAAATCCTTGATCAATAGTAGAAGCTGATTTTGGCAGCTTTTGTTACCGTTGAAAGTGAAAAGGACATAGAATCTTTCAATAATGTCATATTGGTGTATAGCTAATTCACGTAATTTTCGCGTATGTGAACTGCTACTGGGATTGGTCGATTTTAAACCTCTTTATTTACCAAAGGAATAACTTTTTCATGTCTTCGTCTGCAATTTTGGCATCTCTATTGTCGATTCCATAAGGCCTTTCCCAGTGGGGCTTGAGTATATCCCAGGATATCCCAGGATATTTTGGATATTCCGAGTATATCCAAAATAATGGGTGGTATTATTAAAAATCAGTATTTTCTTATAGTACTTACTTATAAGTATCAGCATCAGTATTAAGTAAATACTGAAATGTATATTAAAAAAGAAATGCTGATACTTAGATGCTAATACTGATTATTTTTAAGTATATTCTTATTTACTTAAAATTTGATTACAAGAAAATGAAATTTTGGTCGTCATTTTTGTTTTTCCTGTTGCATCGCTTCATAGTCCTATGGTTAGAGATAATTAATTAAATAGATAACAAAGGAAAAACAACCATATATGAGGAAATTTTATCCAAATACGATATTTTTCAATATTTTTTGGCATACAAAAATGTACCACATTTGATGCCGTTGGTTGACTTATATCAATCTGGAAGCCATTTCAAAAACGAATCGACGAATTTTAATATTTTTTTGTTGTTTTCAGAAACAAATATTTTTTTTAATGATGTATTATACGACCCATATTCTCTATTCAATTTTTAAGGGTTGGGGTTGCTGGGCAAAGGGACATACATCAAATACAAGGGGATACATCAAAAGATGTCCCTCTCGATATAAAAATTGACATGTTCCCGAAAACACCTCTGATTCCTTTTCAATGAGCCACCCTGTCCATCTCAAAAAGATTTTCATTTTGCCAAAAAGTGCAAAAAAAATTGTCGTTGACCACCACTTCTCACTTCAGGGTTAAAACGAAACAATTTCACATAATCTTGATCACGAAGATCTTTTCGTCTACTTTTATCAACTTTTGGAGCTCGTTGCACGACAAACATTTTCTAAACAAACAGGAATACATCTTCAGCGAGCACTATAAGCATGCTAAGAAGCAGAGTTAAAATTTTATAAGAACATACTTAATTTTGTAAGTATTACCTATCGTTTACTAATATAGATTTAAGTAACAACTGGTCAGCATAAGTACAAACTTATACTCTATCAGTACATAATTTAATTATCAGTTTGTACTTAAACTTTATTAATATACTTATCAGTATTTACTTATGAAACTGTAAGTATCTACTGATTTTTATTAATACCCCCCAATATGAATACTTGTATGTTAAATACAATAGCAGTTTCCATCAACTATAACTATGCTACATTGGTTTGTTAACTTTACCTACCGAATATTCGGTCATACACAATATAAAAAGAAAAAAGAAACTAGTAAGCAAAGGTATAGTTACTACACATATCAAAGCATGGCAGTATTATCAATATACGTGATGTGCTACGTCAGTGGTGTCAGGAACCTTTCATAATTTCGCTCACCTGCGTGACTAAACAATTTCACTGTGAACATACACGTACATTTCAGTTGCAAGAAAGTGACTTGCACGACTCTCTCGGGATTCACGGTTTTTCGAAGGGACTTCGCCGATCGATATCAGTCGGTATATAGAAAGAAGTTTCTTCAAACACATCGGATCGATCATGTTTGTCACAATATTTTCTTGAAATTGGTTTAATTCATTTTCAACACTTTATAGTGTCTAGGTGCGTGAAGTTTCGATTTCAAGTCTAATGCATCATGGAACTGTCAAAATATTATTGTTTACACAGTTTCCTTGTGATATAAATAACGTGGGTTAATAAGGAACGAAAATAAATTCTTCTGGGTTAAAGTACACCTTACTATACCATTTTTCTGGATGCCACTTGACAGAGGACTTGAATGATACTTTTGGACATTTGCTTGAGAACATTGTAAAGTGGTGTAAACGATTAACGCTTCCACCAATTCATTTAAAATAATCAAAGGAATTTGTGATCATTCTGTTGGTAATGAATGTAACTGTTACGTCATTGCTTACCGAAAATGATGTTTACATATTATTAAGTGCCTTCTTTACAATTACTCTATAATTTTTCCAAAACATTCAAAGGTGGTCTTTTCGACTCTTAGAACTGAAAGAAAGCATTTGAAGCCTCGCTGATGTAACTAATTAATTCGAGAAAAATTCTTCTGGCTCCGATCCAGAACACTCGTCAACAATATACAGTCGAAATGTCAACTTCTCCCGATGATCATTAATAATGCAGTGATATTTTGAAAACATACGCTGCCTTTTCATCCGGAGCCTGCTGTCTTATTAGAATGCGTATATACCCCGAAATAAATGGAAAAAAGATAACGCACCCAACTAGGTTTTGAAATTATTAATGATACCGCATTGGCAGTAATCTTCCTAATTCCGGGCCTGAATAAACACGTATAAACTGTAGCGAAATGGAAATACATGATTTGTGCGAAATATTCCCACTGCTTTCGTAAGGAATTAGACCAACTGTTAAAACATGGGAAGTTTTATTAGAAAATTAGAAATATAATACAAGAAAAACGTGCTGCTCGTCGAAATTCGCAATAATCGAGACAGCATAAATTACAGTGGAGAGTTCTTTGAAGAACCCTGACCAATATTCATCCAAACCCGGAACTAATAAGATAATAAATCATCATAGAGAAATGCAATATAACCCTTTGACTCCCGAGTCCATAGTAATGCAACGAAACGATTGCTTTTGCGGTCAGCAGATCATAAATTATTCGCTTAATTTCGCAGTTAACCGGCGCTGTAAAATGATGCCTCATACCATAAAGAGAAACTAAAAACAAGAGGCTTGCTTCACGCTTTTCGCAATACTTGTAAAATATGCTCTTGCCGTGTCTTCAATTATTCCGCTTTATTTACGTAAAGTTTCTTTAAAAGGGAAAGGAATGCATAGTTATGAAACGAAAAGGGCAATGTATCTCAATTTGTCTACTTTGTCTACTACATAAGCATCGTAGGTATAATTTTCTCTTATTCCAATTTCTATACCGATTGCTTCAATTCCGACCGCAACATGTTCGTTTCTATGAGTTGAACAAAGAAAGATTAATAAAATAACAGTTGTCAGAGTGAAAAGCTGCAATGACACAAATGTCACTCTTTCTTTTTCTTTTATAAGTGTCTAATGGAAGTTGTCTTTATCGCACCTATAGTCTATATAATCTGTGTTGCGATCTGGAATGAAGCAATGTGTATATCTAGGTACACTTAATAATTGGCCATTTTCAATATTTCTTCTTAGCAGTTATACGAGGGTAATACAGAGAAACTTAAAAGCAATCCTCTTGAAATGGTTTAATGCTATCTATGATACAGTTATAGTTTAAAGTGCAATTTTTGAAAATACATATAAATAGCAGGCGAACGATGGGACATCAGTTTGAATGACAGAGCCTACTGGATGCATAAAGCCGCATCAGACCATTGTTGAAAGTAAAAGAACACAATTATTATTCATTTGTAAATGTCAGTGGTGCCCGATATTCAATATGGTGGGAGTCACCGGACCACACGACACGTTTGATAAATGATCGTTGATTCTTAGGACGAAGTTCTGTTTTTCGAGCGCTTTTGCGATGCATTCTTGAATATTTTAAGGTCTGTTTTGTCGAACGCGCTTCCGCTTCACCATCTAATGCTCCCCGACAATTAACATAAGTGGCCATGCACATTCTCTATTTGCAGGATAAATGGGGGTTATTTTGATTACCCGCCTTAAGGAAACTGACCTCACTCAACGCAACATTTGTGCGTTAATTAGTTTTTAATGCAAATGAGGGTGTACCTAATGAAAAATGTTTATTTTATAGACACTACATCAGAACGTTACATTATTTGAAAATCAACTGAATATTTATATGGGGAATTTGATACAATTTTTGATATGAACAGTTAAAATTGGTTTAGTATCTGTTTAACTATTAATTAAGGAGTAATAATAATTTAAAGGAACATAAGTAAATATAACTATTATCCGGCTAAAAGAAAGTGTACTACTGTACATGTTTAGACCAAACCAGTAATACTATTTAGATTTATCCAGCAT